GTCGATGGATCTTCTTCATTTATTGAGTAATACAATTCTTCACATAGTTTCTTTTTATATAAGAAGATTGAATCTGAAACATTTCATAAAACAAAAAGAATGAGAAAAAATCTTTTAACTACCATGAAAAATCAGAACTTAAAAATCAAATTTTATTAATGTCAGTGGAATATACTGAAATTAAACAAATTATTTCAGAGAAAGATATATTATATACCATTAAAAGTTGTTTTATCGGAGATTCATCAACAATTGAAGATAGAAAAGAATTGATGTGGAATTGTTTTGTTTGATTTTTATGAGTTAACGAAAAATATAAAATATAATTTACCATTTATAGAATAACAAACAACAAAAAATGCCAGAAGATTTATCACAAAATGTTTGTTTTATTTATATTTTTAGATAGATAAAAGAATAAAAGTATTAAGTATTAAGTTAGCTCTTGTATTAAATATTAAAGGAAAGATTGGAAGAGTTACTCTGGAAAATTATGATAATTTTGTTAATAGAAATAGTAGTTATTTTCCATTTAAAAATGTTACTATTGCTGTTGTAGTGTTTAATTCTCAAGATGACTCGTATAAAAATATAAAAAATTGGCATGGAGAAGTATCAAGATATTGTGGGTCTTATGATATTCTTCAAACAATCATTGTTGGAATGTTTCCAGATGAAACATATCATCAAAATTTACCAGAAAATATTCAAGTTTTGTTTTAATTTATAAGAATAAAAGAAATAGAATGATTAATTATGTAGATGGCGATATCAAGTATTCCGAATTCAAAGTTTTTTTATTATTACCCAAGTGGTACTGATGAATTTAGGAAAGTATTTTTCAGTACAGTTGTTAAAATAAGAGAATTATTATTTTCAGATGAAAAGTTAAACGAGATTAAAAGTGTGAAACAAAAACGAACAATCGTTCAAAAAAAAATAATAGCACCACAAGTAACATCAACCATTTCTTCTTCAATGAATAGAAAATTAAAATTAGCTTCTAGAAATGAAGATGAATTGGTTATTTTATTAAAAGCAATTGTTTTAGGAGATGAAAGTGTATCAAATTCATGTCATCGTATTACTCAACATATTCTTGGATTACCAGAAGCTATTGGAGATGATATTTATGAATATGTTTGGATAATTCTTTTTTATTTGAAAAATGAAGAAAAAGAAAAGAAATAACAAAATAGCCACAACATCTAATTCAAAAAGAAAATATGACAATTAGACTTAGAATGGATGTTTATAATCATAATATTCCTTCTGGGAAATCATATACTCCATACTTTAATACATTAATATCAATTATTGTATTTAGATATGATGATAAAGAATCATTCAAAAATGTAGTAAATTGGTATCAAGAAACACAAAGATATTCTAATTTACAATCAAATCATTATTTTATTGTAGGATGTCAATATAATGATACTGAACAAATTATAAAAGATCAAGACACTGAAAATTTATTGAATTATATTTCTAAACAAAAAGAAATTCAATTCTTTAAAGTTACAGGAAGTAATTGGGATGATTTAACTAATAAATTCTTTTCTTTTGTTGATGATGTTTGTAGAATTGAATTTTCTAAAGAATTCTTGTTTGTTATTCATTATATTTAAATATAAAATGAAGACTAATGATTATAGACAGCAGTGTGCTGGTTTAACGAAAAACGCAAAACATACACTTACTTTAGATAACACACAACATACTAATGATAGAAATAAACAATATCGACCATTTATTTTAGACGAAGAAAATTCAAATATTGAAAGAGATGAAGAGTCAGGATCATTATTAGGAAGAGAAAGAAATGAAGAGCCAATGGAATTTGAATATTCAACAGATTCATGTTGTTGCATTCTTTTTTAAATGAATTTTATTCATCAATTTTTTCGGGATTTTACTTTAAAAAAAAAAAATAAAAATAAAAGAAAATAATTAAAAAAAAAAACTGATTAACATTTTTTAAAGGGGAATGAGCAAACAGTCTACTATCCTTCAATTCTTTAAGGCAACAACACAAATTAATGAAAATAAAAATATAGAAGAAAAGAAGCCGAGACAACAAAAGAAGAAGAAGGTTGAAGTTAAAAAAGGAATGGGACTTGATAGATTTTTTAGAATTACTACTGATATGTCACCAGCTGCAATAGAAAGAAGAGAACGAATTAAACAACAAATGGCAGAACAATTAAAAAAATTAAATGCAGCTAAAGAAGAACAAATAAGAAAAATGAAAGAAAACAGAGAAATAAAAAAGAAAAAAAGAAAAGAAAATGAAAGAAGTTTAGAAGAAGAAGAAGAAAATGAGAGACGATATAGAAACATAACATATAATGAAAATGATTTTGGAATTGAAATATGTAAAAATGTATATTTAGGGTCAGCAGCAGCAGGAGCAAATATTGAATGGTTAGAAGAAGTTGGGATTAATTATATTGTCAATTGTACACCTGATGTTATGTGTTTTTATAATAGTAAAGAAAATCCTGATTTTAATTTAAATGACTTTCCAGGAATTACAGAAAAGGAATATTTAAGAATTGCAATAAATGATGCAGACGATGAAGATATTTCAAAATTCTTTAATCAATCATTTGAATTTATTGAAAAAGCAATTGAACTTAAACAAAAAGTACTTGTTCATTGTTTATTAGGAAGAAGTCGTTCAGCAACAATAGTTACAGCATTTATAATGAAAAAATATAAAATTAAATTAAATGATGTATTAGAATTATTTGAACTAAGACATTATGAAACAAATATTAATGATGGATTTACATCTCAATTATTACAATTACAAAGTAAATTATTTAATGAACCAATAAATATGAGAAGAACAAGAAGAATAACTTCACAAAGTTCAGAACATTTAGATATAGTGAATAACATAATAAATGAATTAAATTAATTGTGATATATAACTAATTTTTATTTTTATTTATTTTATACTATTAATAACAAAATAAAAGATAGTATAACAATAATTAATGGTTGTACTCCATTTATATCACGATCTGTTTTATCACATTGAACAGGAATTAATGATGATGGTGGACTAATAAATATTTCTTTAGAAACACGAGAAACATCAAAATCTCTAAGTAAAATTCCAGTAGAATTTTTTCTAATAGTAAAGACGTTCCACCAAACATATTTTTTATTATTTGTATCAGCGATCTATAAGAAAATGAATAAAATGAATACTTTCATTTAATTAAAAGAAAACAAACATTATTAATAATATACTTTTGATGTGTTAATCCATGACTTGTATAAAATGATACTTCAACTATTGGTAATCCTCCATATAAAGGTGCTCCTTTATGTTGATAAATCCATACTTCATATACTCCTTGTGGTAAATCATTTGAAAAACGAAGAATACTGTTTTTATAATCATATGTTATTGTTCTTGTTATATCAGGTACTGATTCACTTGGATAAACTGAACATTCAGGTGTAGTTCTTGAAACTAAGCAACAAGCTGTATTCACATTAAAATCATATTGAAAATCATTAGGATTAGAATATGTTAAATGAGCTTCAATGGTTGTATCTGTAAGAGAATAAGATGCTTTTGTAATAACAAAATAGAAATATAAAATACTAAAAGTTATCATTTCTTTTTAAATTTGATATTTTTTAGTTTCAAAGTGTTAAATAAAAATAATTTAATTTATGAAATTAAAAAATAATTTCTATTTAGTTTTTCTTTAAAAATAATACAATTCTTATATCAAAAAAAAAACAAAAAGAAAGAATAATAACAAAAATAATAGTTATAAAAAAAAAACTATTTCTTCCTCTTGGATATTTGCGAAAAAAAAATATTTATTATTCCTTCGATTGATTAACAAACTTTATGCTATTTAAAAAGAAAAGAACTTAACTAACTTCAATATGAAAAACCTTATTAAAAAAACACAAACACCTAGATTAAGAATACGTAAACAAAGTAAAAGTAGTCATAAATCATCAAGTAAAATGGATTCATCAATATCAATGTCAATTTCAGAGAATGATGAATTAGATTTAGAAGATGTTTGGGTCGAAGTTTGTTATAAATAAAAAAGAAAGAATTAATAAAAAAACAAAAAGTTTATTATTATAGAGTCTGACGTCATTAAGTCCAGAAATAACAAGTGCAGTACTTAACTACATTCTTAGACCAAATTTAGGTGAACAAGAAAAAACAAGAAATACAATGGTTTTACTTTCTTTTTATAATGCATGTAATAAAATTCCAGAACTTATTGATTTTTGTGTTGAAAGAGATTATTATTGGAAATTAGATAATGTTTCTAAATATTCACCATATTCAACTATTCTTTCATCTGTTATTAATGTGTCGTATCAAAATTTTTTTATTGAAATTCATCAACAATTAATGAAACGAGGAGCAAAAATGAAAGGAATAATTGTTTGTTTTTATTTTATTTAATTTTAATAAATAAATATAAAAT